TAAGTTTTATGGGAAATGGAAACAAAAAGGACACTTGTACTTAGAAAGAGACACATAATGAAAAAAGATGGCTTGGAGAATTTGACATACACAGGACATATTGAAGAACAGTGGGCTAGAGCGAAACAGCGAGAATAACCTACCAAATAAATTTAAGCAAATGGATGGTAGAATGGAGTAGGACAGATGGTGAAAAGACAAACCTAACAGCTACAAAAGATAGGAATAGATGGTTATAGAGAGATATGATCATTCACATCTTGAAGGGACACTGCAGAAGATGTATGGATGCAAGGTTACACAAATCCATATCCTCCATACCTGACATGTAATTATTAGCTGAATTTTGATCTGAAATTTTCACTGTGTCATTAATATTCAGTACTGAATTCACTGCCACACAATTAATATTCAGTACTGATTTCACTGCCACACAATGCACATGTGTTCTTGTGCCTCTGATGAATATGTGCATCTATTCTAGAATTTTTATTATTTCTCTCAATAGCAATAGAAAAAAAAAAAAAAAAAAAACCTTCTCAATGTTATTGTTTTAGTTGGAGTTATTGAGATGTTTTTCATAAGAAAATAAACACCATAATGCACATACCAGGTTGGGTCAAAAGTGATTTTCACTAATGATTTTTGGCAACTTTTTTTTTTTTGCCATGTTATATCATTAATTTTATAAAACTGTTGAATTGCTTAGTCTTTATTTTACTGCTTTGATAATGAATAGTGAAAAAGGGATTAGAGCCATTTTAAGTTACCTGTGAAAAAAAAAGGATTGAGTGTAAGGACGGCAGCAAAAAAAAGTGAATACTTTCAGACTAGAATATAAAGAGGATCTATGACTACCTTTATGACTAGTATTAAACAAGACTTATATCAATCTATTAATTTCTTGTGATTTTTAACCCATAAGACTTATAATAAACAACCCAACAAAGGCTAATACATTATTAAATTAATCAATCTAGCCCATTTGCATGGAACAATAAGGAAATCATGAAATATTAAGTTGTTGAACACATGGTATGTAGTTTGATTCTAATTTCCAGAGATATATGCATCAAAGCATCAAGGATTACAAAGTAATAAATTAATAGATTTTTTTTGTATGGGAGAAATGCAATCTTTATAAATGGCTAGTAAAACAGTCCTACTGTTAAAAACTAGATGTAGTTTGACCAATGAGGAAACAACAGTTAACCCTCACCCACTAGTTGGTAAATAAGTCTATTTTTAAAGAAGTTGAAATTTTGGTTTCATTATTATTTATTTATTCTATTAATAAATAAATATAATGAGACCAAAGTTTCACCATCTTTAAAAATAGATGCATATTCAGAAGCACCAGGCCATGAAGTTATATTTTAATGAGCTAATCAGAAACTATCCCAACCAAGACATGAATATCTAGTGAGTGAATCAGAAACAAGATCTGTTCCCAACCAGGATATAAGGTCACTGATTGTGGACCAATCATAAGTCAAGCAGCAGTTTTAAAGCAGATCTCTAGATATGTATATAACGAGATGGAAAGCCAACCTAAATCAGTATCAAAAAATTAATTTTATCAATTCTCCAATGCAGCGGTCATTGTAACATACCCAGAGCTGAAATATGACACAAACACAACCCATACAGTCTTGCATAGGCTCATACAATGCCTAACTCCTTCTACCAATGGCAACCTAGACAGTAATACAGTCTTGTGTTGACACTAAAACATGCATAGTTCCTTCATGCATTTTAAGCAAGGTGACTGCTACATTTGAATAGATACATACATACATATATATCAACATTCTCCCAGACTCTCTTTCACATATGCACCAAGATATTTGCATTTGAACTCTTGAACTATAAAGTTATCACTATCCTTCTGTATATACAATGGGTTATATAAAAATTTATCTTGTATATATTAACACTGTGCATTTTCTTGCAATTCTTACACAAGGCCATACAGATATAGGGTTGGATGGGTAAATTTTTGCCATTTTTAATTTTGCACATACATGTTTGTTTTTGATTTTGTCAACTGCACAGTATAGTAGGGTCAGTTGGGCATCATCTGTGAGAAAAAGAGCACCATGATACAATTCACTCCACCAGAAATTTGGAAACTGCTTGGTATTCGCTCCAATACAAACATTTCAGAGTATTTGGATGTCAATCTGAGGACAGCGCAGAGGCTTCAGAAAAAGTTGGAGGAGTCTAATGGTGATTACAAACCTGTTTAGAGTGATCACTAGTGATAGTGACATTATGCTTCCATTCATCTTCCCACAGGGCCTCAGAATCAACACAGAGGCCTACATCAAGTGCCTTGAGGAGGTAGTGCTGTCCTGGATCAAGAGGGTGGCTGCTGGAAGACCCTATATCTGGCAACAGGACTCTGCATCATGCCACACAAGCAGGAGAACCCAGTCATGACTGTCAGACAATTTCTGCAACAATATCACCCTTTACATCTGGTTACCTAACTCCACAGATTGTAACCCCCCCCCCTCATTATTATGTGTGGGGCACAGATGAGTGAGAGACTAACAAAACTCATTGTAACACCAAAGATGAACTGAAGGCAAGGCTTATGGCAGCATTCACAAACTTAAAGAGGCTGTCCAGAAGAGTTGCAGATTTTATTGAATAAATTAACTCTTTACTCTTTCAAGATATTTTTGTATAATTTTGGTAAATATAACTGTTAAAATAAAATGTCAATATTATTTTCATTTTTATGTAATTTAGACGACAATTTATCTGTTGCACCCCTGTATATGGTGGGAACACATGTTGTCATAAGATAACCTTCACCATAAATCACAGATTAACCTTATCAATACAAGTAAGTTTCAAATACACAGGACATTTTTGTGGACCAAACTGTTTATCACTAAAAAATTTACATTTTCTTTTAAAACAAACAACACATCTTCAGGATACTTGTTCTCAATAAGAACAAATTTAATGAAGTCTAATTCAAATGATTTTTTTCATATTTATATGATAAATATACTACATTAATTTCAGCCTGTAATATGTATTTTTACTAGAAATATTTAAAATAACTGTTATGGTGTTATGAAATTTTATTATCTACCTCGAGGGTTGTTCATTATATTGTCAATAAACATATATAATAGTATAGCTAACAATATTTTTTTTTCATTTTAGATATATGATAATTTTCATGAGTTGCAAGATAGATAACCTCAATTAACAAAAATATATTGAAAGTTATTGAATTAAAGGAATGCAACAATGGAAATTGAAAAAGAAAAAAAAAAAGTAATCATAGAACAATTAAAAAGGAAATATATTGTTTGCTTCTGTTTCATAAGGAAATTCTATTGTATGTCCAATGTTTAGTTTATTCTAAGTGCTCTTAAACAGAAACTGCTAATTATTCCGAGATTTTATTTTGTTTATTATGGTGTGAAAAGAAGTTGATGTGATCATTTTTATTGGTGGATTTATGATAAACACTTAATTTTAGATCATCATCAGTAAGGTTTAATATGATTTTTGAGGAAAGGTAATGTAGTTTTTCAGTTTCATAATAAATATGATTGCTTAATGTTGTTTAGTTTATTGTTATTGACAAGATCAAGTAATATTGCCTTGCAGGCATTTATTTGAAATGACATGTTTATTACTTTTAATATATTGCTACAGCACAATTATTTTGAACAGCCACACTTGTCCATGGCATATATTAAAAATAATCAGCATATCATCCTAAATAAACATTCTGCTGGCATTTGTATTTGGTATACAAGAGTACAAATGCCATACAAGGAAACAGTCCTTACCTTTTGAAGTTTGAAATTACATATGGTAATCAAGTGTGCAGAAAAATTGGTGGTTTATCTGTACTATAACAAGGTTTTAGTTTGTGTATACTTTTAGGAATGGTAATTGTAATATTAGTTGCTTCCTTATAAGGAAACATTCAGCATTCATTGACTCAGCAGTAAGTACTGTTGAAATTTATAAAATCTTTCTCTTAAAACAATTTTTCAGAAAAATAGTTTTTTCTAGTCTATTAGCTGTTATAGCTCTTTCCAGTATCCATGGGTGTTTACTTCCTAACTTTTTAATTCAAGTAGTGAGAAACATCAACATCTTTATTATGCCATTATTTTCTCAAGTTAAACGTGCTATCTATTTTAGTTATTGCTGCTGTTGATAGTAAAGTGATGCAGTCTCTGTTATCTGATACAATTCTTTGCTTCTGTAGTGCCAGTCCACAATCTTCATAGAAGAGGGGTCTTCACCAAGACCCACAGGCTTCATTTGCTCAAACCCATTTTTAACCATTGATCTTAGAAAGTGGTTGTATACAGTTGACAGTTTAGATATTTCTGAATAGGTTTGGTGCCACTCATGACATCCACATGAAAGTCTCAAGCTGATAAAGCTATTTAAGAACATGACTTGATTTTTCAGGTTAATGCTTTGGTTTTGTAGCAATTTGTGGTGTTGGGTGAAACTATCTCTAGTGCAGCCTTATCTACGTTCTATTTCTTAGAACATCAATACCAAATGGTGTTTGCACGTGACACCACCACAGACACTTGCACTTTGCTTGGAAACCATAACTAAGATTAAATATAAGCAAAATAGGTGAGAATTTACACAAAATCAATGGACATGCATGAACTACACCAATGTAAACAAGTGATCATACACCACACACAACACCATATATGGCTTCCCAGGGAATTAGTTTGGCAACTCGTGGCATTCAAATGCTTGCTCAAAATCTTGTCTGAATTAAAAGATGTGCTGGAAAATCAGTAGTGCTCTGTATTAAGAATATTTCATCATTTTTTACTCAATTGTAAAGTATTATAACTTATCTCCTTAAAGCTTCTCTTTTACTTCTAAGGAAATACAAAGTTCCAGTGATATGCATGAAATAAAAGATAATTCAGAGAAGTTGTTTCTGTAGAAAACTGAATGCAATTCCATTTCAAAAGTTGACATACCTGAGAATTGTACATTTTGTAGTTGGTAATCACCTGGCCCTTGGAATCAATTAAAGGAGCCCCAGCTCCAGGCCGGCCCCATGGGTCATATATTTGCAATTGCTCAGCTGGTTGAAAGAAAAATACAATAGCAAAATCAACTTAAATGTATATGTATTATATACAAATAAAAATATGTATCTGATATTATATATATATATATATATATATATATATATATATATATATATATATATACATACATACACATATATTTTAATTATTTCACCCCAAGCAAGGCAATAAAGCTACTAGGATGCAGTGGGTTACTGAGTATTACAGATTATGAAAAAAGCTACTATTAAGCAGAGAGCTTAATAAAAGAATAAGAATCAAGAAGACAAAAATGGACATTGCATTGAATCAAGAAGATAAAGATTGACATTTCATTTAAATTTTTGAAGATTAAAACTGACTGTGAAGCAATAAACCAAAAGAGAGTTTCACAAGCGAGAAGTGTCATAGAAGAAACTGTAAGCATAGAACTTATGGTTACATCTAGCCATTTCCACTGTAAATTGATAAGACCTTGCCACTAATCTAATACTGCATTTAAATTCATAAAGTCTAAGTATCATAGAGGAAAGTTCATCAGAACAATTATAAATAACTATTTATAGAAGAGACACAGGGAAGCTACATTAAGACAATGGGAAAGGGAATAAAGCTGATGTGTCAGGTCAGGACCAATAACATTGCAGATTCTTAATTTGATATTAATCTTAGAGTTTTTGTCTCTTTTTTTTTTAAGCAAAGTACTTAGAATTTTTAGTCAATTTTTCTCTTGAGAGACATGAAGGTAATTATTGAGCTCAGTCAAGTCCAAAATAAGGTCTTAATAGGATGAAGACAGAATGCATAGATATCAGCAAAAGAGACAGTCCAAAGTGTGAGCTATGTACTTAGGATGTCAAAATCAAGCAGATAAAGAAATTCAGCTATCTGGGTAATGTAGTTAACAGATGACAGAAAATGAAACACAGAAATCTGAAGATGTAGAATACTGAATTGCTATGTAATATCTAATCTCTGATATGGCAATGGATGCTGAACAATTTCCTTACAAAAGGAGAAGAGACTTGAAGCAACAGAAATGTAGTACTACAGAAGGATGCTGAGAATACCATGGACTGAACATGTAAGCAACAATGTAGTCTTAAAGAAAATAGAAACAAGAAGGAACTTATACTTACAATAAAAAAGTGACATGAAATTTCTGGAGCAAATAATAAAGAAAGAGGGTTTGGAGAATTTAACATTCACAAGACATAAATGCAAGAGAAGCAGTGGGAGTTTATGTAAATGGATTGTAGACAAAGAGGGATGACAAGGAATCAAAAATTACTTAGAGCAACAAAAGACGGAAAGCTGTGAAAAAGCATGACTGCCTATGTCCTGAAAAGACATTGCATATAAAAGAAATAGGACAATGATGATATGGGAAATAAGCTTTCTAATTATAGGTTTATATAAAATGTTCCTTTTAGCCAATTTAGGCACAAATCCAGTGTTCTTGAAACACTCAATGAGAATCAAATTCACTTACAATGGCTTGCAAGATTAGCATATAGTATTGCTTGTACACTCTGGAAATGTATTATAAAAAGCTAGCAGTAGAGTGAGACAAAGCAAATTTCTTTATAATTTTTTAATCATCAAAGCTATGTTTCAAACAGACACCACAAAATACAAGGGTGGGAGGCTAAGTCAGATGTTAAGTCTTCAAGATTCTTGATTCTATGTTTTTTATGCCTATTATCCTCCAGTAAATATATTTTTTAGTTTTGATCTTAAATACACAATTTTGTTTTTCTTTCTTTTTCACTGGTACTAATATTCTGGAATGAGACCTATAGATTTTTCAATATAAAAGTTTTAAAAGCTTATGTTCAGTGCCACCAGCCCACCACAAATGTGTTTTACATTTTCAAAAGTTGTCATATTGTCATTTTTAATTTAATAAGGATACATTTCTGCTTAAAAATGATTTAAAGGAGAACAACAAGAAAGCTTATTTCATTCAGTTTGGCTATGGAAATTAAACCAAGTAAATTAACATTATTGAGATAGTTGAAATTTAAAACATTTTATAGGGGGGTGATTCTGAACCATTACCCAGTAAAGCAAAAGAAAACAGATTGGGAGTAATTCAGAAAGCAAATTTATAGATTTTTACATTGAATGCTCAGCCAGTCTTCTCTTTCAAAAAGACTAAAACATAAATTATAAAAAATTAATTTTTCCTCCCTTGATTCACTTTCTTTTTTATTTTATTTTGTTTCTTAACCCTTAAACAGCAGGAAACATTTGCACAGATGTGCATGCCAAACATTTAAAGAACAAGAAAATTCACTTTTAAAGGGTAGTTTTATGCTTTAATCATATATAAAAATGATATTTTAACTTAGATAATAAAGAAAAAATAAAAATGAAACAAATGTTAGGTTCCTAAATTTAATATTTTTTAAACAGGATTCAAGGAATATTCTTGAAACATTCCATGCACAATGGAGCTGTGCATTCTTGGCACCAAGTTGTCATCATTTTTTGCATCTCTTCAAGTATGCAAATATAAACCTGTCTTTGGCCTTTTTTCCAGCTTTATTTGCAGGCAAATATTCCAGGAAATGACGTAACCTCATGAATCCTTGAGTTGCCAGTTAGTTATTTAGACTCAAATCATGAATGATGCCCATATCATAGGAAAAAGTTTGAATCCCCAACTGATGATATCCATTGATCTTGAATGAAATATCAATTGATGATACACACTATTTAAGACTTAAATCTAAGCTTAGCTAACTTTGTATCAAAGTCACATTTAAGCAGCGCCTAGTGAGGAATAAACTTATGGCTTATGAGACTAGGAGGCTATTCACTACTCTATGGCAGGAACTCTTGTCTCTTAGTTGGAAATCAGTTTTACGAAAGAAAAATTGATTACTAATGCTAATAGGCATCATTCTAAAATGATTTTAAGATTTTTTTTCCCTGTCAACATTGGAAAAAGTCTTTTGACTCATTGTTATCATTTGAATTCTAATTTTAAACAAATTCCACTGTACCTTTTTCTTTCTGCCATTGCCGCTTTTTACGTTCAGCCAAAGACAATTTCTGAGTTACTGGATACGGATTTGGTGCTTTCTCTTGGACAATGTGAGTTGAAATTCTGGCCTCATTACCATCTGGTTTTGCCTGGCCATGTAATTGTGTATTGATGTTTGAATCTTTCTCATATTCTTCACTTAAAAAATAAAATAAAATATATTAAATACAATTATATAAGAGAGCAGCAGTAAGGTTTGAAATATAAATTTCATGATTGCTAAAAGTGAGATTAGTTATCATTAAGAGAAAATAACAATAAGAAAAAATTTGATTGAAGCAATAAAAGCAGTCGTTAAAATAGGAATAAAAATAACGCAAAAAAAAAGATGACAAAAACAAAATAACATTATCATAAAGTTGTAATATAAAGATCCAATTCACCCCAAGTAAGGCAGTACAACCATTAAGAATACAAGGGGTTACTGGGTGTAATAGAATTAGAAAACAGAATCAAGGTGCAATTGCAATAGAAGAGTAATCAAGAAGACAGTAGATAATGATTGCATTTAAATTTTTAAAGATCAAATTTGTCTGGAAAACAAAAAGCCAGGAGAGGGTTGCATAAGCAACAAACGTGAGAAAAGAAACTGTAACATAGAACTTACAGTTACTTCTAGCCAATTCCTCTGTAAATTGTTGAGACCTTTTGTCACATGCTGACAGCAGTGAAGGATCGCAGCCAACGATCACTAATTGTTTTGGTTCAGCAATGAAAAACTCCAAACACAGAGAATGTTAACTATTTTTATCAATCATGTCAACATGTAAATTATCTAACTATCCAGTGGTGGTTGCCCCCACTCCCACTGGGAGCCATTTCAAACGCGAAAGAGAACACATCTACATTGCTTGACAGGTAAGAAACAACTCACTGAAACCTTTCTATCTATCTATCTTTCCCACACCAATCAAAATCAACTTCACTATTATGGCTTACATCTGATCCCTGCTGTCAATCTCTGGAAGTTGGAGCCAAGATACACTTCCACTAAAAATAATAGTCTGCTAAACTATCATTTAACACTTGTTGCTAATATAATACTGCACTTAAATTCATTAAGTTTAGGTACTATAACAAAGAACTCATCTGAACAATTACCATGAAAGTATTTATAGAAAAAGCACAGGGAAACTACTGTACAGTAGTGAGAAAGTGACTGAAGCTGAGACACCAAGTCAGGACCAATAATATTGCTGATTCTTCTTTGGATTTTATCAAAAATCTCTAAATATAATGCAGGAACACTGGATCATATGTGGCAACAATATTTGAGGCATGGACAAATGGTAGACTTATAGATATGTAAAATAGATTCAGGAGAGAAAAACTGTCTAGTATGACACAGTGAACCAATTTCCTAGCAATGGATTCAATATAGTCTTTCCACTTCATGTCAGTTAAGAATTTTATTTTAAGGTGCAACAAGTCACTGTTTTGGGGGTTAGCATCAGCTATGCTCATGGAAAGCAGAAAGGGGTCTCTCAGATGATTAATAGAGAGCAGTTTTGTTTTGGAGACATTAAAATTAACAAGCCATTTTTGCCACCGTTAACAACAGATTGTAAAACTTTTCCAAGATCAGCCACCAATTTGATCTTATCAATCTGATCAGACTTACTGTCAAGACAGCAGTAAAGTTTTGTGTCATCAGCATAGATATGAAGTTGAGAGTTGATGTCGTCAGGAAGGTCACTTTTGAAAATTAAGAATAAAGTAGGAACTAGGATAAAGCCCTGCGTGACATTTGCATTAGTACAAAAGAATTTTCTAAAAATCTAGCAATGTGCCTGGTCTTATAACCAAGATATGTTCTCATCACTGAGGAAGGCTAATTCTTAAATTCATTTGAAGGTGCTGGAATCTATTTACATTAAGTCCTACCAGATATCTCTCTGTAAGCAGAAAATGTGGCTAATTAACTTAAATTTAATTAGCCTGTAATTGTGATATATTTTACATAATAGTTGGTCACTTGTGTTCATTTTTGGTTGCTGCACACATTTTTGTCCTCAACCAAGTTCTGATGAGAAAAGACTGATGAAATGGTTTAGCTTTTTTTATTTGTGATATATTTTAGTATTATCTATATCATTTTCATTATTTGTTGTTACTTCTTTTATTTGTTATGTCTGTTTTTGTTGCTTTAAATAAAAAAGGACAAAATATTATCAATCATTTGAGCTATAAACCTAATAAAAACAAAAAATAACAATTGTTATGAATATCTCATTTAAATCTTACAACTCCATATTTTTTTAACCTTTTTATTCAATCCACTAATCTACATCCCACACAATATCTAATCTTCATAATGACTTTATTCAAGGAACTTGATTGTAACACTGATCTGAAATCAGCCAAGGAATCCCAGAGAAGCATGTAGTAAATTTTTGTGTATGCCATGCTTCCTTGTAACCAAATTACAAGTTATTTTTCTTTCTGTTCCTACCAATAATTTTCTTTTGTCAATAAGAACATTCATTTAACAAAAAACACACAGAAATTTTGAAAAAAATTAAAAGAGCAAAAGGGGCCTTATTGATATTCCCTGTTCCCCACAATAGTTTTATTTTTTCAGTTGCCCTTGGCTTTTTCCTTCTGGCAATATTAACATTATAAAAAATAGCCCCTGAAATGTGAAGATAGGCAAAACTCTATTCATTAAATCCAAATTTTCCCTGCCATAACAGACAAGAAACTTGAATAAAGACATCCTTTGTTATTTTTTTTTAAGTTTAATAAATTACTATTTTAAATATACTTTTAAAAAAAAAAAAAAAAAAAAAAAAAAAAAATGCAGTAAGAGCTAAAGATGAATTTACAAACTTAAAAAAAAAAAAATTTTTTAAAAAGACTTTTCTAGAAGTAAATCAATAAAAAGAAATAACCTGTGTTGGGTTGTGCCTTCTTTAAGTTTTTCTGCTGTCTGTTCATAATCCTCTTTTGTGGAGGTTTCTCTATTTTTGACAATATGGCTACCATTTTGGTTTGATGTTCCAGTATCTGTCACTTCTTTTTCAGCTGTTTGTTCCTTAAGTGTATCTAGAATAGATAAATATGTCATGACCAATATCAAGGAACAGACTACGTTAAGCTTTGTGACATTTTTTTCTTAATTTGCTATGACACAGCCCATACTTCTAAGATGAGCAATAAGCATGTTTCTATCAACACAAACAGTAAAATCACAGAGAGATTAGGAAAATAAACATCTGTAAGATTAAATCTTACTGTAAGTTCTTGAAAGTTTGAATGAATGTTCATGGAATTAACCAAATTCTGAAAAGTGAGAGGTTTCATTGCAGATTTGTAACAAAAGAAAGAAAACATCAAAACAAAAAGAAAAAATTGTTTTATACGAGTAGCATAACAGTTTTCAGCACAGAAAGTGAAATTGGTGAGCTGAATTCAAATACTGGTATAGTCTGTCGAGTTCACTTTTGCACTAATTCCCTAGGGAAAAGGAATCAATTCATCTTGTCTTCCCCCCCTACTATGGGTTAAACAGAAGTGTAGATTTGGATCTCTAGCCTTGGTTGGCAGCTACTCTGAGAAGAACTTCTTTGAATTCAAAATCATATAGGAGGCAATAACCCCTTTCCTCACAGATGAAACATCACAAGCTTCTCGTTAATCTATTGATATTTCCATGGTAAGTGTTCTGACAAGCTACATTCCTTAGTTCCACCAGCCATGACTTTGCAGCTAGGGCCTACCATGCCACATACATAAGGATGAATCATACTCATTCTCTTCAACTTCTTTTAATAAGAAGTTCCATTCAGACAGCTTCTTCCCAAGGACTGGTGCTTTGTGGAACAGACTCCCAGCAGGTTGCTTTCCTCTGATCACAACAATCTTGACCTCTTCAAGACTAATGTTAACCATTATCTTTCCTACATAATTCCATGAACTGAACTTCTTGCTTTTTATTACACTTATACAACACCACATAGTAACCCTCTACCTTGAGTGGCTCACTTGTTTGCTTTTACACACCCTTTAAAGTCTATCTTTTTTCTTTTACACTTTTGATTCTTTTTCTCAAATCAATCAAAAATATAACAAAAATGCCTGTCAAACAGTGACATTTTTTAGTACATGTGACTTTGTAAGAATTATATAACACTTTACATTTACAGTAAAGACAACTTAAATGGGAAAGACATCACTAAATATCTTATAGTTATACCAGCAACAGATCATGTCCACTTTACAACAAATTTAAAAAGTGGAAATAAACAACAAAAATGGAGGTGGGTAGGTCACATCACAAGAAAGGATAACAGATGGAGCAAAAAGGTTAGTTGACTGGTGCCCAGTGGATAGCGATTGTAGTCAGAAAAGACAAGACTGAAGTTGGAGAGATGAGATAGAGGGTTTTGTGGGTAAAGCATGGCAGGAATAGCAGTAACAGACATCATGGAAGGATAAGGGGAAAGTCTTTTGTCAAATAACAGACACACAGTGAATGATGATTTATATATATTTGGGTAGCAATCCTTCTTTCATGCAGGTTTTATTCAAAATGATGAACAAAGAATATTTTATGAGTTTTTTTTAGGACTGTGTGTGCTGAATTTATTAGTAGTATTAGTTTTCCCACAAACTTTAGGATAATACCATAACTATTTTCAGAGGTAGTAGGCAATTTTCTGTGGTAATAAGGATTAATAATATATTTTCTACAGTGTGCTGTGTAGGAAGCAGTTTTTCTAGCAGCAATTTTTCTTTTGGCAGAGTTTTTGCTTAATTTCTGATGACAATATTTTGGCTGCATTCACACAGTGCTTGCTATAAAGTGAAAGTCTGGTGTTTTTTTTTTATATATATATATATATATATATATATATATATATATATATATATATAAGTATTGTCTTACTATCAAGAAAAATAAGAGTGCATTCTAAGAAGCAAACATCTTAATCAGAAAAAGAAAGTCATTTTGTTCCCAGCAGTATGTGGGTGGGTCACTTTGCAACCAAATTGAGCGAAGCATATATCTGTATGATTTCATTTTGGATCAAATATATGAAGTAAAAAAAAAAAAGAAAAAGAAAAGAAAATTATTAATATCCTTGTTGTTTTTATTTTTCTGTAACCAAATACAATATTGCTTCTTTGAAGGAAGCAATAAAAAGATAAGATAAGCAAAGTCTTATTTTATTCATCAATCTGACATTTTTATGAACAGCTATAAGGATTCATTTAGATGAATGACAACAGAAAGTTTTTGTTTGTATGACTCAGAAAGATGGGAAACAAAGAGAAAGAAAAACTTCCCCTACAAGAAAGTCTAGATAGTGAAAGACTGCATAAGAAAGAAAGCGAGTCTGTCAATAGTTGGATCTGACATATCTACATCTGGTTAACAATGAAAGCATAAATTCTTCTTGACAAAGATCGATTATCAAAATAGCTGGTAAGTTAGCACTAAACAAAAGCAAAAAAAATGGAAATGAAATAGGATGAAAGAAAAAAGAAAACAATGTTTTATGCCTTCTTTTTTTTTTCCCTATGAGAAATAAAATACTGGGTTAAAAAAATAGCCATGTAATAATTAATAAATATAAGTTTACATAAACAATCAGAAGTTACCATACCAAGAAAAGAAAATAACTTTCAAACTTGGTTAAGTGGATTATACTTCTTCTTGTCTTCCAGTTTTGAAATCATTTAAAAAATAAAACTACATATTTAAATTTCACAAGAATGAGCAAATGATCAGGTTTCTTTGATATTCCCTATATGTACATAAAAACATTCCCAAACCAAGATGTGAAAAACCAACAAACATACTGTCTACTAGACATATACACACACACACTTATAAATACAGATTATCATCTGAATCCCATATAGACAAGCTAGAATTATTATACACTTACATACATAAAGCAATATTTGTGGTTTTTCAGTTAGGTTTAGAATCAATTGATTTCTTAAAAATTTAAATGGACAAGTCATCTCTCCTTGAATTCAGAACACCATAAGTTATACTAATATTTGTTATAAAATAAAATAAGACATATCTCGGCTGATTTACAGGCAAATACTCAAGAGCGAGAACCGGATGTGAACAGGACAAAGCTCCGTCACAAAATGACCATTATCTTTCTTTACAAATGTTCCCGACACATTTGTCCCGGTCGAAAAATAAAATAATATTTAAAGTGCTCTATTTTTCGTCCAATAAAAATGCTTCCCTCCTAATTATACTCGCTTCGTTTCTCGAGCCTGTTAAGCCATAAAAAAACGCTATAAAAGGGGTCACACAGAAGTTCAACAGGTGGCCAGTGAACAGACCTGACGGTCAGGCCGAGCAATCAGCAGCAGGGGAGCATCAACCACCGTCAACATGTGTGAACTACTATGAGAGGTCGACCTAGATCAGAAACTGGCTTATGAACTTTACCACAAGGTAGCTGTCCCAAACCCTCACGTTCCTGTTGAAATAAACCACGTAAATCTATTTCTACTGTTGTCGTATTTCTTTCTTGCAACCATACGCTTGTCTATAACATATTTATTTAACAAGTGCACATGAAACATGATTAACCAATGAAAATCAAACACAAAAGTAAAAATACCAGAATTTCTTTCTGATAAAACTTTAATAAAAGTGAAACATGTTAGCCGGATAAATGTTTTCTATTTGCTCTTTAAATTATTAATACTAAAACTTAATTCTTGTGTGTGTGTTCCCAAGATAGAGCTTAAATGCATAATATCACAACCAATTTAGAAACGTTTTGTACCTTGAACCCCTGCCAAGTGCAGTGCCAAATTTCATTAAAATTAGACAAGGGGTTCTTGAGCTAGGGCTGTTTTTCTCTTGGTACAGCATTTTTAATAGGAAATTCAGTATTTGTTTTCAATACACATTCTTATATCAAACTGCATGCATAAACAAACACATATGTATTATATTCCAACTATATGTGTGTAAAAAATAATAAAAATGCATAATACATAACAACATTATTAAATAAATTTAAATATACATAAAACAATATATATTTATACAATTCACTATACTACATTAGAACTTTTTTTATATATAAACAAATATCTCAAATGCTTTGCATGTACTTGATAAATGAAGAGGCTATGTTGGGGTGTCATTGTACGACATAATCTGTATGGTTGGAAAATTGTGTCAAATGACTTGATGGTAAATAAATAAATAGATGCACACTGGTTTGTTGCTGTTACATATTTTTATATAAATGTGAGGAAGGAACAAGTATGTATAATAGAAAAATATAATTATTATTTTGAAAAAATTACCTAGAAAAAAAAAAAATGAAACTAAGTACACAAAAAGGAGGCATCCATATTTTATGTTATTTCAATAAATATGAATCTTCCTAAGCAGACAATTTTGTTAAAGCTTTCCATTTGTTAATTTATTATTGTGTTTAATCTAAGTAATATTGTATAAAGGTGAATAATAATAATTATTACAATAACTTGTAAATACAAATTAAAATATGTGTAATTAATAATAAATTGATAATTTTGATATTTCATCAATTTATATAATGAACAGCTTTTAAAAGGAACCCAATGGGTTTTATGGGTGATCTAGTTAACATATAAAAATCAACCATTGAAATGGGAATGACAGATTACAAAAAAAAAAAAAAAAAAAAAAATGCATAAATAAAAGTTTTTAAAAATAAACACTCTCGGCATAATAATAAAAAATGTTTAGGAAGAAACCCCAAATAAGTGCAAGGGAGATAAGCAAAATCCTAAATCTAAATAGCCAGATGCTATTATATTTGTACCATAATTTATTTTTAATTCATTTTACTAAAATTTCCCCACAATTATTTTATTTGAGCTTTTTTTTATTTTAAATTAAAATTCAATGAATATTTGGTGGTAAACTTGTATTTGGTAAGAAATGGCAAATAAAATAGTTTAGAGAGACTATGCTCTGTCTGTAAATCTATCAACATTAAAATCAAAACAACACTGAGGCAGTAATTTATTTTCTTCTATCTATAACTGAATATATATATATATATATATATATGATTCAGTAGAGTTTTGAAAAACTATTTCAACTGTCTATATAGACTTGTTTTAAAAGGAATGGATAAAACAAACATTTTAAAAATGCAACAAATCATTTTATAATTTGAGACAACGGCTGAAATACTGAAAAAATAAATAAGAATGAAAATACTAATTCAAATATAGTGCTGTACTATTGGTGAGACCAGGAACATAATCTCAATTGCATTTCCTTCAGTCAAGTAAGACACCCCCACACTGCAAAGGGGACACTTATCAAGTAAATGCTTATAGAGTCAAATATAAATGACTACTATTTACAAATCCCCAAACTAAATACTTATAGACTCAAATATAAACAAAAAACACTTACCTATTCCCGAACCAAACAAATGCTTATAAATTCAAATGTAAACAAGCAATATTTACCAATCCTAAAATCAAGTAAATGCTTATAGATTCAAATTTAATAAAGAGTGATTTTAGAAAGAGCTGACAGGTTATGACAGGGCCAAATGTATGGGGAACTCAGTGAGGATCGAACTCACTATTCAGTTTCAACTGATCTAGCAAGACAAGCTCGCTAAGCATTGCATCATGTCAAAGTGCCCAAGTGCTGATATGTTATGAAAGCAACCAACTCAAACCAAATAAAGTATATCATTTCAACATTAGATATTATTTTCATTTTAGAGAATTCACTGACAGTAAAAATCAAATTGATTTGCTCAATGTACAAGCTCTCAGTAATGGGTCTTATCCCTTATAAAAATGCTTCTAAAATATCATCTTGTGTTGAACTAGTAAAATTCATTTCCATTATGGCAGTGGTTCCCAAAGAGTGTGGCATGCCTCATAGGTGCAGCATAATGTTTGAAAGACAATCTAGAAGATTTAGAAACAGTTTCAAAAAATTCTTATGCCAAAACTAAATATGATTCTAAAATTTAAAATATTGTTATGGATTACTTGTAATTGCATGTACAAGTCCCAGTATAAATAGTTATAAATAATTATTGACTGATTTTATCATTGTGGTATTTTTGCATTATATCAAGTATTAAGAATACAGTAACTAGGGTTTTCAAATTGGAGGAGAAAGTTATCAATGATAATGTTCTGATTTTGAATCCTCGGTTATCTCCCCTTTAACCCTCTCTCTGTTTTTTTTATTTTTAAATATACTTTTATCACATACAATTTGGTGAGACACAAGCAAATTTTCATTCCAAAAGTGCGGCATAGAGGGTAAAAGTTTAGGAACAACTGCATTATAGGAAGCAACCAAAAAGCTTCAGTAAACATTTGCTAACAAAAAGTGAAAGTTAATAGATTCATGAAAATATCAAAGCATAAATATAAAAAAAATATTAAACACTTACCGATTTCATTGTTACTGGAGAGATTTTTATCTGTGACAGGTAATTTTCCTACAGAAGCCAAAATAGCATCCAGCTGAGCTTTGGTTAATGTCACAGTTTCTGCAAATGGATGTTTCTTTTGTTTGGTATTAGAGGTCTCCTTTGTTTTTTGTTTAGTAGTAGCCAGTTGCTGATTTGAACTTTTATTTGTCCTGTGGTACATATAAAAAATAATTTCCAGCATAAACATTTTATTTTTTATTAAAATTCATAATAGAATATAACATAATAGACACTCACAGACACATTATATATATATATATATATATATATATATATATATATATAGAGAGAGAGAGAGAGAGAGAGCTGGCCACTTGTATTCGAGGATACCCATCTACTAGGGTGGCTAACCAATCCCTATAGTGGACGCTTGCTCAGGGACATTTGTGTTTGTTCAACACCCACAAAGCCCACCTGTGCTTTATATTGCAACTATGCTGAACAGACCTTAATTATAGTACTTGGGAAAGCGTATGATCAACAATCTGATCAAGGCCAGCATGCTCAAACCCTCGGTCAGGACGACTTGTAACTTTGTGCTAGCACAGCAATCAATGGCCCCCAAGGGTACCGTCTACCCAATTTCACTCACAAAACCATGATATGGTTTTCAGGCACTTTCCAAAATTACCGCACACTGGGATCACCCGCCTCCAGACCGATAACATCAGGAAGACTCTTTCCTGATAAATCAACCATGGTGGGATTTGAACCCAGGTCTCATGGTCAGAAAGTGATCATTCTAAAAAAAAGAAGGCAAGCTTTGTATTGCTGATATAGAGAATCAGGTAAAATGTTTCTTTGTGGGTGAGGGAAGCAACTTAGAGGAAGAAGAGAGTCGGTAGTTGATGTGTGTGAGAGGTCGGTTGACCAAGGTTACTGATGGTGATATTGATGGCTTGATCACTCGCCTGTAATTCTAACAGTGTTGTGAGCAGCATTCTTAAAAGCAGACTGGGTGGATCATGACTCAGCATTTTTTGTCATACCTTTAACAGCAACGTTTGTGATTGGCTCCTTTTAAATTGTATTTTATATTTGTTTGGTGGAGATTTGTTTGGTGGTCTGGATGGGATGGGATAGGATAGGATGTGATGCTCAGAATCCCTGCATACAGGGCAGTTTTTTTATTTTCATTTTCTTAGCATTTACAACTGGTTGTCATGTAGAGTGAATCAGAAAGAGATTCAATTTGAAGTAGAGTAAAACATACACAACATGAATCTTGGTCATTTTAGCCACACACAAAAACCACATTTGTGAAAGGATATTCATATATTAGAAAAAAAAAAACAAAAAAAACATTGAATTTAACAGACAGAAAATATTTGCTTTTAACATTTATTAAGATTTATTTATTATATTTGACCAACACTCTTAGTATTAGAAATATAGATTAAGTGTTAATAATTGTGATGTTTATTTTGTGATTTAAATAAATAAATCCATTTTTACAGACAATTTCATCAGGAAAAGAAAATATATTTAAAGGTTTTTAGCCTGATGAATTGCAAGTCTTTTTAGACACTTATATACTGACCTTTGAACTGTTCCTGAAGCATCTCTTTTATTGACATTTGATTTTCTATTTGGCTGAACTTTTGGAGGATCACTGCTTGGTGCCACTACATTATTATTCCGAAGAGAAAACTTCATATTCCGAGATTTGTAGCCAAACTATAAGAATGTACAAAATACAAGTAAAAGCAAATATTCTCTAAATAAGTATTTCAAATGAAAATACAGAGGCGCTATCTGACAGGCTATTTAATATATATGCTTACATATATAAGTACATTTCAAAAGATTGTGAAATATTTTTTCTATTTTATTTGTAATTTATCACTGCGTAGTATAAAAAAAGGAACAAGGGAGATAACTCTATAAAGGCGAATAATCGCAAAATATCTTTCATGATAAAAACTGAAAATATACACACGCGCGCGCGCACACACACACACAGGAAAAGATATTAGAAGTTCCCAGCGCTACCTTTTGCAAAATGATAGGAAAATTTTAGAAACATCTGAATTTCTTCAGTTCTTTACTACTTGCACAATAACTGAACTACAGTACATCATTTACAAACCTTAGGAAAAATTCCAAAGAATCTACATAAACTTCCAGAAATAATTTAAACACTTTTTTCTTTACTTGACACAAAAAAAAAAAGATAGTTTTGAACAAGACTGACACCAATAAAAAAAAACAAAATTATTATGAGAATATAAAACAAAGAAAATCATGACAGTTTGCAACATCTTAACCTAAACAGAATTTATTTTTTTTAATCATTTAACCCCAAGCAAAGTGATAAAGCCACTCAGATACAAGGGGTTAATGGGAGTGAATGAAAACGAGAAAACATTATTGAGGAGAGAGTATAATAAGAGAACAGGATTCAAGGAGACAGAAGACAATCACTGAAGTTGTATTTAAATTAATTCTATTACAAAAAAAAATCTTCCTTGTTTTGTGCCATCCCGGGTATGACAATAAACTACATCCGCGTCCTGGGTAAGATGATAAACTACATCCAACAGCAAGTCCTCTGATCAGGAGGTTTTGAGGGGCATGGAACCACCTCTTAATTGCTGCTGTTCCCATGTCCACCCTGACTCAAATTATTACCAGCAATAAATTTTTGAAAAAAAAAAAAAAAAAAAAAAAAACCAACAATGCATTTTTGAAGGAAAAATATTAACAGAAATAGATTTTTGAAAAAACAAAATATTACCAGCAATAAAAAATTTGTCAGCATTAAATAACCCATTGAGGTTGATATGCCGTAAAACAAAACAAACCAAAACAATCCTTGTTTTGTGGGGTTTAAAAACAACTGTTTATTATAAACTGCTGGACAAACCATTACTTTGCAAAACTAGTGAATAACCGATTCATTTAAATGATTAAAACAAATGAACAAAAATCACTTTTCTGAGCAAATTGTTGACAGGTGATTTTAATGTATGACAATGTTTGTCCTCATGTTGCAAATATAAACAATCATGGAGGTAGGATAAGAAGTCCTTCCACATAGAGAGGATTTGCCAGATCTGTCACCTTCAAACTAGTATTTTGTGGCAGAGAGGTTCAAAATAAATGGATTTAACACATGGAGAACTTCTTAAACTATATATATATATATATATATGACATGATTAAAAAAAGGAGTGAAAATATATTCATGTATGTACACCAACAGAAAAAAGGAAAACAAAACATTTGTGTGTTTGCATATATATATATGCATATAACACATAGTTGGGTTGAAATTAAGTAGTCAGCTTCCTCAAGGAAAGTGATCTACTTGGTGAGGATGTGATATTTTCACACTACAGCAAAATCACATCTGCTCAGTGGTCTGAACAAGATACTGAAAAATTCCTCAAAATTCACTGAATCAAAACTAAAACTGTTCTTTTATAACTACATACTCATTTTGCCTGAAAAGTAAAATCAGAACATAGAAATCCAAGAAAATGTTTTGATAACTGAATTTTTTCAATGCTACATTTTAATTATCTTTGCTTAATAACAAAACAAGGCAAAAAATAAATAACTTACTTCTGGCATTATGGACAAATAAATCAGTATACGTTGGTATAAAATACATGTGAAAAGTTATACATCAATAAAGTAATACAGAATGAATCTGCTCTGACACTCTTTTAATGCTATGTCCTTCTAGGTAATCATGGCTCTCTGTAGTTTTGGGGGTAAATGAGTAAAGCTTAAGACACATCCTGGTCTCAATGGTAATGTAATATATTTCTGTCTTGATTAATTGTAATATATTTCTGTCTTGATCTACATCTACTATGCCATCCTCTATCCCGTTGCACTGTCTGATTTCCTCTGCCACTATCCTCCTTTGGGCAGAGTATCTGTTTGCATCTTCTTGAATACTAACAACCATAAAAAAGCTCCTTCCATCCTTCATTACCCACCAGTCACCACCACCACCCATATTTAATCTCTCTCCCTTACACCTTTTCAGTTTCTCAATTCATTCACTTCATTTTTCACTTTCCAATCGTTAAGTTTAGGGAGTTAAGGGGGATGCAAATTACTTTTCTTTATTTGTGAATTACTATAACTGCTTTGGAAAGATAATGGTTTCCCATTGCCTTTCATCTAGTTTTGAACTCAAAGTAAATCTTTTAAGTCCAGTCTACCTTGCTACTTACTACACAAAGGAAGAAGAAATGGATACCTGACTTTTCTCACGACAGTGTAAAGAATACTTTTCTAATGAAAGTTTTAGAAAATCATAGCAATTTGATTATAATCAGGTTCTAGTAACCAATTCTTAATATCAATTAAGAAATATAATGAAGTGATTTTTAGTATAAATATTATATCTTGAAATTTCAAGATATTCTATTAAATATTATTTCAGCAAATTTTATGCAAAAAAGAATTCTGTTTCTATTAATAGCTACAACATCTGTATATTTCTTTTATAGCTTTGTACAATTCTGACAGGAATGTGATCCAGTGCAATGTGTTGTAACCATAGTATCCAAATTTTAATGATGAGTAAAAGTAACAGGCTCTTTTCCCCATATCTGAAATCAGATTTCCGTTTATATATATATATATAAGCCTAAATGTCTGAATATATATATAAAGTGATAAGCCTAAATGTCTGAATATAGCCAACAAATAGATATATAGTAATCAATCTGAAATCATTGTCTAATGCAAAATAAAATCTATTATCAATAAGCTACTTACTTTCTTTTTATCTTTGCTTTGTGGTTCTGAAAACAAGAAAAAAATGAATTAATTATTTTTAAAGAGTTCAAAAGCCTCATAAAATATGGCTTTTTCAAAATAGTTTCTATTTTTAAAAAATATATATATATATATATATATATATATATATATATATTAAATATACTAATAAACACCAAACAGTGCCCAGGCACTCCAATTCAAATCATAATTCACACTAAGGTAATAAAGAAAACTGTTTTATATATATATATATATATATACACACACACACAAGTGAATACTGAGTTCAACACCCAGCAGCAAATCTGTTTCATGCTTAAATGCAATCGTCAGGCCATGTGTGTTTTTTTTGGTTTGATTATTTATATATGCTGATCAGTGATGCATTATGGGTAAATATTGTATTATTCTAATGCTTATTTGGTGGCTGGTAATGATTGTGTTTTCAGTTATTCTAGGGGTTACTGAGCGGAAATAATTGTGGATTCAAATGCAGCTTTGTGGCTATTTCATAGTGTCAATTGTTAATTTTATTATTATTTATTAGCAAAAAATTAAGTTAGAATTGAATAAGAACTTTAACAAAATAACTCTGCTATCCAAAGGTAATATTCAAACAGTAAAACCTGTCTCACAGCAATATGGCAGCAACTACAGGAAATTGTCCCATTTATGTTGTTATGTAACAGCATAGTCTTAGCATATGTGCCTAGATATTAACATACAATTAAATTAAAATTATAACAGAGCCTATGAAAATTTGTCCATCCACAAAGAGCCCATGGAGTATTGTTAATGATCAGCTTAAATTAATCAAACAACAATGCAGAAGAGAAATTAAGTTAAATGAAACTTACTTTGCTCCCAGAACCATGGAGTAACACCATGAAAATTTTTGGTCTCAAATTTCAAAGCTCCCCTGTAAGAAATATTTAAAATAAATCCATTTTAATTTATGAAAAATGCAATATAAAATATTAAAAAAAATATTGTCAGTACATGTTTATGCACATAAACATTATCATGAAAGTAAATATTTCTAATAATTCTACTTTATTTCTTTAGAGTTTTAAGTTTGAATTTTTGTTGTTAGTTTTACTCAATGCTATTGACTGACAATTGTTACTAATGACATTGGAAAATTTAAGGTCCATTTTACTTTACTGCTTTTCACTAAAAATTTGGCAAATGACCACTAAATTTTTATAACAAATATCAAAGCAATGATTTACAAGATAAATAAAGCCAACAAATAGAATATCTATATATGTAAATGAGAAGAGTTTGTTCACTATACACAAGCAAACCCTTTTGTGTACAGCCCTCAAATTTGATATACATTTATTGGATACAGGTTTGAGAAAGATTTGTTTATAATGAGGAAAGTGAGTGCGCTACCTCTTTTTATGTTATATGGAAATATCTTTCATACAAACAATTATCATTTGGAATGGTTCAGGGTGAATTTATAATTTTCTTTTATTATCAAGATATAAGCAAGAAAATATATTTGTGTATTTTGCAAAAGCAATTCCACAGAACAATTTTCCCCCAAAATATAATTTTCTACTTTTTATAGTATTCAGAGAATTTACTAGGAAGAAATTAAATCATTTTTTTTTCTCTTGTATACTACTAAGTACTATTACAAAACTACTGCACATCACCATTGTTGAAAATAAATGTGCTGTGAGGTTATTCTGTGATACATCAGCCTTGTCTGAATGTACTTTTTATTTGTGTGCATGTAATTTTGTTTGGAGATTAAAAAGACATCATAAGCCCACATAATGGAAATAAATAAATTACAAACAAATTATATACAAGATACAACACAATAATAAACAAAAATAATAAACAAAATGATAAAAGGTTTTTGTATACATTTCAGAGAAAATATACATATACAGAGATAAAAAAGTTTATGTTTATCTGTTTAATAGCAACATTTACTATCAGAGCACTGTCCCTGGACATCTGATTAATTGATTTGTCTGTTTCACAGCATATCAACTCCTTAAGGGTCGTTTAATGTCGAAATTTAATTTTCTTGGGAGCTTGGAAGTAATAAAAATATAACATGTTATTCTGCTTTCACAACTGACTAGATGGTAGATACTCAGTTTTTGTGCATATACATGTTTGTGTGGACATATTTACTAGAGGGGGTGATATGTGTTTATATTGTAGTTTTGTTGAAGTTATATTTTCGAATACAGTTTGATTTCTTTAAGAAAGTGGATTAATATCATGAAAGTGTTCTTTCTTGTCGGTTGTTTAGTAGTATTTTAAACAAATTTAGGTGAAGTCACAACAATTTGTTAGTATGCGTGTATTGGTATACAGGTTTGAGAAAGATTTGTTTATCATGAGGAAAGTGAGTGCGCTACCTCTTTTTATGTTATATGGAAATATCTTTCATACAAACAATTATCATTTGGAATGGTTCAGGGTGAATTTATAATTTTCTTTTATTATCAAGATATAAGCAAGAAAATATAGGTATTGTTGATAATTTTTTTTATATAAAAATGTATTGCTGGTATTTTTATACTTTCATAGTGCTTTGTTTGGAGGTTATTTATGAATAGCTGGGATCATAACAGGTGCTACCACTCCAAGTCAGGGTGAACCTGGGAACAACAGCAATTAAGAGGTGGTCCTACACTCCTCAAAATCTCCAATCTCTCCTTGCTGCCAGATGTAGGTTATCATCATACCCAGGATTCTGGACATCTGCTTCATTTGGTGATGAGATGAAGCGAGAGAGAATTTGATTTCTGTTTCAATTTATGACAAAAACACCTGTTCTGGTGCATAAGAGTTTACATATTTATTTAACTATTTCTTTTATAATCTAATTTTTTTTTGTTCTTTACCATTAATTATCATTCTTATCTATATTTTAAAGTAATTTCATTAATTTTTCTCTTATTTTTAATTATTGATTATTTTGGTTTCATACTCCTACATAGTCTAGTACTAAGGGTTATTTAGGGATTTATTTGTTGTTATCACTACAAATTGTAATATAACAAATATTTTTTTTTTTACTTACTGTATGTACTCTACATAAAACTATATATAAAACTACATGTATAGTTAAAACTACATGTATCATGTGACCACTGAATTTTTTGTAAAAAACCTTATTTTTTCATATAGCTTGTGTATAATGCATCCTCAGCTTTTAAGCAATACTAGTAGACCTATCAGTAGTTAAATATTGCAGTACTGGAGATCACTCTGGACATATTTTATAGCAAATAAATGGTCTACATTCTTTTTTCTACAAATAATACGAGTAAATGTAAAGAATATAATAAATATAAATACAGATATACAGAATAGGGAACATAACTGAAACATATATGGTGTACATATCAGGCAAAAGGAGCAATACCTCAAAAGAAAAGCAATACCTCAGCAATGTAAACACATGCGAACAAAGATGAACACAAATTGGAAAAAGGAAAAAAAATATTAATTCTTCATTTATATGAAGGTATTTGTACATTTTAAGTGGCACATATAGTGAATGACATCATGCTGTTCATGTAGCAACAGAAAGAAAGAATCTAAGTGACAGGAGGCAGGCTGAAGAAGCTTATCTGTACCCAAAGGTTAGCCAAATATAACGTGAGAATGTTGGCCTTTCAAGTAGGTTACAGTCAACAAAAATGCATGATTTTAATCAATCCTGAAAAAGATTTACCTGTGTATAGTGCAACTGGTCACCAAAAATGCAAAATTTTTAATTTCTTCCCAAAAATTACCTGTGTATATTTGGACCCATGTTTTGCATAAAACACTGATCATAAAAACTCACACTATACTCAAGTATATACAGCATACATTTCAGTTCTTTCATTTTAGTATTACAAGTTACTTTTCAGGACTATATATATATATATATATATATATATATATATAACCATCAGTTTTATGCTAAATGAGAAGGGTGTACTCAATGAAAATCATAGATGCAACACACTTGATTGAATGCATAGAGAGTAAAAGTGCTAAAATTGACAGCAATGCAGAGTTATTGCATCAAGTTCATGTGAATCTTGCAAAGTGCATTAACCTTTCCATCACAAATGATGGAAATCATATTGAAGATGTTATTTGTTATCCAATTCAATAAAATGTTGTTGAAAATATGAATTTTTACCTATGTATCCAGACTTTAGGGACACCCCGTATATAATGGTTTTGTGACAATGTGTTTGTATAGAAAAATTTGTTTCTGAAAGACAGCAATCCAGACAAAATATTTTTTGTAATATCTACTTTCTTTCATTTTTTTTTTAATTATTAGAATTTTAAAAAAAAATGAATCTTTCAATAGCTTATTAACTTTGAGTAAAACTTTTCAAAACATTCCGTCCCTTTTGCCAAAAGTAACAAAAGAAAGAGATTAAATAAAATTATCAAATTATTATTACAAAACTGTTACAGGAGAGATGTTTAACTAGTCTGGACAAAATTAACAGTTTACAAGTACAGATTACAATCTTATTGAACTGACTGGTTATATAAACTTGTCAATTGTATACATTGTGTCATGCAAACTACTCAATCTAAAAATAAGCTGAAGGGAGATGGAACTCATAATCAAAACAATTTTTTTGAGCACTACATAAATAGATTGGTCCACTCTTAAAAAAAATACGGAACATTTTTTTCAGGTAATAATTTTTGCAGATTAACATTCATTGGATTTTTCTCAAGCCATAACATTTGTCAGAATTCAAAAATACATAGATTTTTATTGACTTAGAAGGAAGCAATGTTCATAATATCAATACAGTTTAAATTGATCCCTGACTTTTTACAAAATTATAGGACTTAGATTTTATTTACATGTCAAGATTGAAACGACTTACATCATTGATATCTACATTTTTGTTTAATTTTTAAACTTTTTTAAAACCATTTTTGGGTGTGGTGTTATCTCTAAAGCACATGCACAAACAATGAAGAAGAATTATTTATCTTAAATGAAAAATATTTTTATTAATTCTTGTAAATTTTTGTTCTTTAATCAAAAATGCATATATTCATTTGTTCTTTATTTTAAAAAGAAATATTTTTGTTTAAAAAAAAAAAAGGAAAAAAAAGTGTTTCCTTACACAGAATAGTCCATATAACTTGGTAAAAAGTCAGGGATTTATTTTATACTGTATCGATATGAACTAATGAACAGGACTCCCCCCTCCTAAATTTTTTTAGATCGATACGAGTTGATTGACCAATGTCATGTCTTGTGGAAAGTCTAAGGAATGCTAATATACAAAACAAAAAAAAATTATTTCCAAAATATTCCCCCAACCTTTTTTTTGTTTTTTTTTTTTTTACACATGGTCCTGTCTACTTAACTTAAGTAGTGACATTTCAGTCAAATAAAGAAAATTAAACAGTTATATATTTTTAATTATCTCAGTTAATCAGATGATCATTATACACACAAAAGGCTGAAAGATGTTTTTTTTAAGGACAGAATGGCTAAAAAAACAATTGTACACAAAAAACATGGCTAGATTTTTTATGAAGTACTGTATGCTTTTTTGATGATAAGTGTAACTTAGTTTGTCAAAAAAGTCATAATCATAGTTCAGATAGTTGCCTATATTTATTAGTCACTGACTAAAATTACAGTAAGTTAAGTAGTAATCGTCGTGATTCTATCAAAAAAGCTCCCTTCCTCATTTTTGTGGGTGGATGAGGAGGAAGCATTATTAAATTTAATTTACCGCTCCAAACAATTTCTGCATAACAAACACTGAATTATTTCCCTTGCATATTTTTTCACATATCCCGAGCCCCCTTCTTGAGATTTGAAAAGTTATTCATCTGAAAGATAAGAAAATATAAGGGAAGTAATTCAGTGATTGTTATCTACAAATTATTTGAAGC